AGCTGTGAATGAATTGTTATAAGTGTTATTTATGATGTTTCTGTTAATTTGTCCTCTGAAATACATTTTTTGATTTCAATCACCATTATTTCCAAGTATTAAAAATAATTGTAGATTCGGAAGACCAGGCGTTGAATTTCATCTTGAACATCCTTCCCCTGCGGCGGTTCTTCAGCTAATTTTTCTCGTCAACGAAGTGATTGAATTGTGGATTCGCGCTCGAATTTATTTTAAATCCAGCTAACGAAATTCTATCTCATTTCCTCTAATTATGAGCTTTCTTTTTACTATATTTTAACTAACTTCTACACAGCTGATTCAAAAGCATGAAAGTTTTGACTTTTAGGGTGGGTTGATTTCAATATGTGGAGATGATGTCGTTCATCTTTGGAATATTCGTCAAAAGCCGCCTGATATTGTTCATTCCCTCCACTTTAAACGTGAAACGTAAGTTTTTTATCTCTTGTTTATTTATAGTTGCTATGCCAGTTAAGGATTAAAATGAGTCCCTTGTTTTGCTGTTATAGTGTCATTGCTTTCAAGCTCCACAACTGCGCAAAATACACCTTACTATGCTAGAAATTGTTCACATCTTTGCCATAGCGATCCTTATTTCTTCATTTTGGGCGTAGTTAATCTCAAAAAGTCTCCACGATTTATGATATCTCAAATGAACATCGATCTTTTGACTAAAATCCCGCTCTACTTAGAAGGATGTATTTTCTATTCCCTATGCTTGTTTTGTATGCTCTCGTTTGGCATAATTCTCATAAAACTGCTTCGGACACGGTAGAACTCTGTTTTCTTAATTGTACTTGTCTGTTTTCAAGCGGCTTCATCTTCGATCACGTTTACTTTATTTTCGTTCCGGCGGATAAAGATGAGTAAGAATGTTTGCGTGGAATGAATCTTTATGCAACCCCTCATCGAGAAGCCGCTAATCTGGGCTATTGGAAAACGGGTGTTTGGAGGTTTCGGTAGTGATTTAAGGCTACTTCCAT